TTCTCCTATTTTTATTTTTATTTTTTTGCTTAATCCCACGCTAATGATTGAGCCCATCCCATACATTTCCGAGGGCTTTTTCTTCTACTGAGGAAAGAAGAACATGTTCAGGAAAGTAGGCCAGCATGGTCTTGGGGTATCACATATGTATGTACTGTATAATGCGCCTCTCTATCATTTTTCGTTGATGTAAAAAAATATAGAAACAAAACGGGCGGGTATTTTTTGTGAACTGTGTTCAGACAAACAATTTCTTATTAGGCTCAAACACTGCTCAAGTTTTGGCTTAGCATTTTTATCTCCTCTAGGGAGAAAAAACGCACCGTAATAGCAAAGATCAAGGCAAGACAAAAAAAGGAAAGGAAAGGAAAGGAATCGCTTAAGAAGGATAATCTAATAGGGAATGGTGTAAGGATGGTCGTTATGGGTATTATAAATTATTAAAAACAACATACATGAAAGGAAAAGTAGTCAGGAGTCAGTCGTCCTTGCAACGGCTTAGATCCTCGATCAACCATCCCTCCCTCTCCGCTTCCAAATTCAACCAGAGTGGTAAAAGTGAAGAAATTTATATATATCGTCCGAAGTATCATTCACAGCATCATACTCCGCCGCCTCGATGTCGCAAGTCGCTCTACCCTCTTAACATCGGATGCCCCTTCATGCCCATCGAGGAACGCATCATGATCGAATTCGGACGCGCCCTTCATGGATTGTAGATTGGAAGAGGAGGTGGTGGATGAGGAAGAAGCATACTGGTGATAATCGTCACTCCGTTTGTTAGTCGCCTTGACCCCTGCCGATTCCGGTACTGTCTCGACGTCCACGGCGTTTTCTTTTGCGAGAGTAGTAGAACTTTGACTTCTACGTGACCTTGAGTGGGTTCCACTAGTAGCGGGATTGGAGGAATGCCGTCGAGAAGTCCGAGTCGAACTATTCCGAAGACCAACCTCTTGTTCATAATCGACGGATCTTTCAGAAACATCTCTCTCTCGATTGCTTCTCCCTTTACTTCCCGCCATAATAGTTGATATAGCCACGCTTGACATCGACGGGCCCGTTTCTGGAGTAGTTGCGAAATCGAATTTATTTGCGGAGAGTGTCCTGCGTTTCCTGTTTGCGGTGACATTGGACGGCAAGTCAATCATCATATTTCGGTCTTTTCCTCCGAGAAAACTCGCACATGAATCATTATACGCCATTGAAGATGCATTAGAATCATGGCTATTTCCTTCACCACACCTTTCCTTGGCCAAGTCGAGATCAGACTTCGAAGATCGCCTGAAGCGAGCATCACCAGTAACGGCATCTACAAGCTCCTTAGTGGGCCGCCGCATTTTATCCCTAAGATTTGGCTCTGCGTAGCTTATAGAGCCACGGGACCGGCGGGGCGGACGAGTCATCCCAATCACCGGTAGGGGTGACGTATCTCTTGGTTCTATACGAGTTTCGGAGGGATTCGTAGATGCAAAAGAAGTGGTATCACCTTCAGCAAGGAGACTGTGGGTAATGTCCCTGTTTTCCTCGGCGGGAGGTTGCTCCGGCATTATGTTAATATCGACAACATCCTGCTTCTTCTGTTTGGTAGACGGTACCGCCCGAATCGATTTGTCAATCGCATCGTGGCTTCTATTCCTAGGGTTGTTTAGGATTAGGTTTCGGGATATCCTTTTCCCAATCTCCATTGCCGGAATTCTTTTTGGCAGGAGAAGAGGACCTTTGAGTGATATTTGTGCTTTCTATGATATCAACATATTAGCCTAATTCTTGAAGTAACGGGTATGGTTGAAGCATACTTGGTCCTAGAGCACGACGAACAGTGGTTCTCTCCACTTTTTGACTTTCTGGCTTGTTCGCGTTGGTTTTCGTTGGTGTTCTTTCGAATTCTACGCTGGTGTGTCTTGAAGTGTAGTTGGATGCTCCAGCTAGTCGAGTGTATTGGAAATCATCATGGTGATTGAAGGTTTGGGACATCAAGTCATCATCATCCCGTACGCTAAGCTTGCGCTTTGACCCAGATTTCGAAATATGTATCGGCACAAAATCTTGCTCATTGGTTTCAACATCCTTACTTCGAGGGGTACTATTTAGCAAGGAACTATCCCTTTTGCTTCTCCTCGCTCCCAAGTTCGACATGGACGGCGAGGGTTGAATTGGGTTTTCGTTGGCCGTGGGAATAGTCGAGGACTCTTCATCCGCCGGGGGATCCATCGTCTTCGACATTGTTGGTTGTGGAATTGGCGTGGAAGTTATACCAGGCGAATCGTTTTCTCCACCCTCAATACCTACTAGATCGGCAAAATCCTCACTTCTGTAAATTTCATTAGCATACCCATCTTGGAGATGAAGGTAAAATCATAGTATATCCTTACTCTAGCGTTAATCTAGGGTAAAATTTGTCCTCCATAATAGCAGGAAGTCGGCTCTCATCCGTCACCTGCCGAGCAGCTTTCATTAAAGATCTCCGACGAGCCGTTTCCGGAGAAATTTGGAATTCTCCATCAATGGATCTTCGCTTTGGCTTGGAGAGCAAACCTCTTCTTCGAGGCAATGAACCCAAGTCTGCAATCAAGCTTCCAAATTCAGCCAGCTTTGCATCCAGTTGCGATTTCAGATTATCGATTTCACAGCCCAATTGTCCATCATGTTTCAACTTTTCAAGTTCTTGATTCGCAGCAATAGCTTCTTCACGGAGGGCCGCATTTTCCACAAGGAGTCGAGAGACTTCGGATTCCAGAGTGCGTATGCGGAGAGACTGTATAGAGTTCGCACGGGCAATTTCGCGATTTTGCCTTATGAACCGACGTTTTACTAGTAAGAGTTCCCAAGTCAGTGGGACATCTTTGGAGACTCATAAACTTAGAGGATCCGATAAGGACATACAAGACTCGACGGATTCCGCAGCCGCGGGGAGGTCATTTAACCTCGCCATAGTTGTAGGTTGTGAAGAGTCAATTGTCGAGTCAAAGCTGGTAAAAGAGGCGTGGAACAGAACAAAGCTGGTTGGGACATTAATTATAGGCAGGTTAGGGAATTGGTTAAAAATAAGTCAAGTAGTTATTATCCCGGAGTTCTGGTTTCGACTTCTCTGCAGTCGGAGGTCGTTGGAAAATGTTGGACGGATTTCGACGTTTGCTGTGGCGAGACGACAAAAACAATAACGAGCGGCTTTGTTGACATTTGACCAGAAGCAGTTAGTCTGGTTGCTGGAATAGACAAAGTAGTCACGTGTTGATATCGCTTATCATGGTATCCTTCTCAACGAGTTGCACCAAACAAGTCCAGTTGACGTTGCTTCCTCATAGAATGCTGGAAGGCAATGTCCAGGCCAACGGCATTTTCCTCCGCGGGGACTTCTTCTTCCCTTCGCCAGTCCTCAATTAACCCTCTTTCCTCGCAGCAATCATCTCCTCTCGCAGCCCGAATAGCATCCAAAAAACTCGAGCTTGAAAACCTCAGGCAGCTCCGTGATGTGAGCGGCGCGTTGGCATCACAAATGGAGGAACTGGGAGAGAAGTTGGCTACTCTCAAAGATGGGACTGAAGGTTGGCTTGCATGCATATTCCCCCCCTGGATGAATGAAAAGATACTCTCTGGCGCAAAGAAAAAACTAACCATTGATGTCTAATGCAGCGGTGGCATATGTTATGGCTAATTGGGGCAATGGTGGG